TCTTACAATACTAGAGAATTTTATTTAAAATATTTCCTAATCCCCCTTTTCTTACAGCAGAATTTTTTTGAAAACAATTTAAACACTCCCTTCTTGCTAAATCTTGGTTATTAAATTCAACACTTTTAACCCTCTTTTCAATGCCTACTAGTCGATCTTCTATCGGAAATTTTTTTGTTAAAAAACTTGTTTTAGAACCCAACTTAAGTATTTCAGTTTCTTCATTGGAAAACACAGCGTTCGTATAATTTTTTATATAAATCGTCCTCTCATTTTTTAGAAAACAATAACAATATCTAGAACAGTGTGAAAAAAATATAACACAATATTGATATATCTGTAACAACTTATACTATTATTTATGTGAATTTAATCATTTATATAAAAGTTTAGATATATAATGTAGTTCATCGCTTTGCAAATAATAGTCATGGTGTTATACATATGTAATAGTATAACATAATTTTTACTTGACAAATAATAATTATAATTATATCATTTTTTATTGCGTAACATATAGGAATCGTAATGAGAGGTTAATATATCATAGTCAGCTTAACACCTCAGTGTCATAAATTGCTTTTACGTGTGTTTGCATCCAAATTTTTTCGTTATTAAATTGACTAATCAAACTTTTCTATGCCGCATCATAGTTGTTTGCTGATGTTTCTAAAGCTTTAATACAATTTAAAGTATTTCCACTTGGAAAATCTTGTAAATATCAAAACTTTTTGATTGACTATACTCCTTACTTCGGCTGTATCTGATTGGTTGGGTTTATAAAAGCACTCCTCAAACTCATCTTCCTGCTTACTCCTCTATAAACCCAACAGATCGCTTGTTACAAACAATTAGAAACTCGTTTCCTTACTTACTGAAAGGCCTATATACCGGTCCTAGATTACAAAAGTAATTTGTAATACATAATAGTAGTTATGTGAGAGTCATGGCTATAAATAGATCTCAATTAGTAGCATGCTGATAAAAAACGTTAATATAATCAGAGACAATATACTTAATTTCATCGAGTGGTTCTCAATCAATAAAAATTTATTCTGAAGTGAAACTTCTATAGGGACTTTTTAGAAAAGAGAAAATTATCGCGAATCACTGTCGGCCGTAACGTTCGACGCATGTTGGTCGTCACGAACCGATGTCTGTGAGTAGCGGCCCAATTCTTAAATTAAGTGTGAGTTGCGTCCCGAGTTTTTTTATAGTACGTATGAGTTGCGGCCAGACATTTTTTGAGGTACGTATCAGCCTATAAGCATTACCAAAGGAAACACAATGAAAAGTTTGGCTGTCTCTCCATTCCCAAAAATATTTTTTTTATTAAAATTGTTTTTAATGTGTTTTAATAAATCATTATTTTTTTTATGTTTTTGGTGTAGCAAATGTTACCAACTCAATGATCTTACGAAATCAACACAACCCTATTTCTTTATTTTCAAACTTCACCATTTGTTCTCTAGTAAACGTTTCTTTTTCACTCATTCTTTTCGTTTTTATAATTTTATGCGACTTTCAGAAGAACTTGAAGTAACACATTAACGAAATTGTACATGTTAGGATGGCTAATATAAAACGAACTAATTAATTATAAGAACAACTTTCACAGCTGATAGTGGTACAGTTGCAGCTAGCATTAAAATGTTTCCAAATGTTATGAAGGATATAGTCTGGAGAAATATAGTTTTCGAAAACTTAATCGGTGAATTTCACAATTGGATCATCTTCAGCTGTCTATGTTGCCATGAAGTCATCAGTGAAACAATCAATTACGTTGTCAGGAACCAAAAATGGTAATCCATAAAAATATTTTTAATAATTACTATTACACGTATTAGTATTATACATAGTAGTTAATGCTAAACTCTGGATTTTCCTCTACCAAATTTGTCTTAAATAAAAACACTTATGTTAGTTTTAATTCCCATGGACTCTAACGCAACGTATAATTCTTCAATGAAACTTGTAAGTAGGGGGTGCACAGAAAACGGGCAAAATGTATATTGTGCCAATTAGTGATAAATTATTGGCATTAAAGTTAGTATATCCCTTTTTATAATTCTAATGAATAAATTTTATTGATTTGCACAAAACGTCTTCTAATGCATTTTTTTCAAAATATTCCTATTTAGTCTTTAACCCGGCATTTCAATGTAAGCTATTTATCATTACTATGATTACACGAACTCTAAAAAATAAATTCACAATTGTATAGATTATAAATTAAATTAATTAATGTACTTTAAAAAAAGATACTTTGAATTTCGAAAATAAAGTGTTACATATATCTAATATTATAATTTTATTTTATTTATTTATAGAAATAAATAATTACATTTATATTATAAATTTATGTAATAGCTATAAATTTAATTAATAATATATTTATTAATGTATATTACACCCAGAGAAAAACCTCGATCTATATAATAAATTCATTGTTCAATTTGATAAATATATCATTACTGTTGAATCAATGATATATTTATCAATATGATATTTTTTTTTCTTGTCTTGAACAATAATTATTTATAAGAATAGTTATTTTGTTCGTAATAATAAAACATTATCATAAACCCTTGATAAAATTTCTCTTTCAATTTTGATTGAGGTTTTTCTTTGGGTGTGATATAAGATAAGATGAGAGAAAATAGATGTTATGAGGAGAAAGGAATTGGAAGTTGTAAAAACAGTTATAGAAATGAATGTAGAAGGAAGAAGAAGTAGAGGAAGACCAAAAAAGTGATGGAGGGATGTTATTAAATGCGATATGAGGACGGCTGATGTGAGCATAGGTGATGTAGGAGATCGTGTCAAGAGGAAGTTTAGGATAAGGGTGGCCGACCACAAGTAGTTGGGATTAAGGCAAGGAAAAAGTAGAAGAGAATATTTTTTAAACAAGGATATGAAAAAAAGTAGCTTAAAATCAAAATAAAATAAACTATTTAATGAAGTTATTTAATTCATTTAAAGGTAATAAATAAGAAAGAATAATTTTAGTTAATTTTTAATATTAATTATTATACAAATTAATTTTAATAATTTATTTTTTAATGAAAATATCAAAAGTAATATTTTCATTTTTAATGGTTATTCCCGATTTTATTGAGTAATAAATTATTAAAAAAAAATAATTAGTTAAATTGTGTTATTAAGAAAAAACTCGATTTATTTAAATCAGCGCTTAAAATCGATTACTGTTTTTTTTCCGAAAAACGTCTAAATCATCATTTTTTTAATCATGAAAAAAATGTAATCAAAATAAATTAACGATTTGTTACCGGTAATGAAATATATTATTTTAATTATTAACCGGTATCCAACGACGAACACATTAGAGGGTCGGTTCTTCTTCATATGAAATGAAGTAATTAAAATTTCATTTTATCATTAATCGATTTTTACTGGCATCAAAAAACTTATAACCGATTTAAAGCGGTTAGCGTTTATAATCTTTATTAAAAAATTTTAACCCGGAATTGACTATCCCTTTTTACAAAATCTGTCATCTTATAACAATACTATCGCTATCTAACAAATACTTCCGATAGAGGTCCAATAAGACCGCCGAAATTTCTTATTGCGTGTCTATAATTTTTTGTATTTAATCAATGATAATATGGGTAAACATTTATTGAATTAGCATATACCTTAAAATACACAGTCGCATAAATCACAAAGCCTCGCCCAAAATAATATTGCGGGGCTCTTAAAATTTTTTAATAAAAAAAAGTTTTTAGCCATTAACTAGGTTTTCGGGGCACATTTCGTTCACTCCTTGCACCGACCATGCGCTTACTTATAAAATTTTGATTGCTCACCCTTAGCATATACTCAACAGTTATTTTATAAAAGCAACATTGATTATTATGTTTAACATTCAAATGTATTGAGAAAAACAATATTGGAACGTAACACATAACAGTATAACGGTAATGAGAATGATGAAGAAATGGTTTGTATAACAATAGTTTTAAAACAAACTGCATCAAATAAAATTACACATGATTCAATGCTTATTACCCTCCATTATACTTAAAATAAATGGATGTTATCAGCGTTCAAAAAGAATATTTATTAGCCTTCCTAAATTAAGACATTCTTTAATTTAATGCACAAAGTTACACTCATTGGCGTAACTAGTTGGGAGGATCAATTAATAAAATTAGCACCTCTTAGTGTCATGGTTTCTAGAAATTGGTAAATTTTATAAATGGACACTTAGTACTTCATTATGGTTGTAAAATATATCTAAAAAATCTTCAGAACAAAAAGAAAATTTTAAATTTCTATCCTTATAATAATAAACAATTTTTCTTTCCTGTACCCTTCAAAAAATTTAAACATTTAATGAATGTACATAATTTATGTTTCCCTCATTTTACTTTTGATAAATTTTCAATAATTAACATCCTTTGTGGAATTACATTTTATACAGAAAATTATCTAACATAGAAATGATATAAAACAACCAATTCGTAGTTTTCAGGAATAATAGATATTCCCATTTTGTTTATTACAAATTGAATAATTTTTCATTAACAAAAACAAACATTTTCAACGTTTAACTATCAAATTATATTTGTTTAAGTGAGAAGAAAAACTAATGATTTTTAAATTTATATTTTTCTTTTTTTAACGTAATTTATTATTATCATAATCAAATTTATTTACATTATTCATTTTGTAAAATATATATATTTTATATATATTTTTTTTTTAATGTAACAAGGCAACAAACACATTGTGTTATTTAAATAAATTACATACAAGAGCAGCAGATAAGATGAAGTGCTTAAAATGTTTGAGTTATCTCTGCTTTAGATTTATGTATATATAAATATATAAAATAAACAATAGAATTTCCGTCAGTAGTTATCTTTTTTTTTATATATTATTAATTATTGAGGGGGCTATATACAGGAAATATCTAGTTTTCTCCATAGTTGTAGCTTGAAAATATTATTAATTTATACACAAAGACCTAAACATTAAATAATAACCTTTTTTTAATAGAAATAATACAAGTAAAAAATAAAAATAAACAAAAATGTTTTTAAGTGTGATATTCCTGAGAAAAAGGTGTTGTTTTAATTTTTTTATTAATAAAACTTTGTCCAGAAGCAAAAAAACAGCATGTTTCGTCGAGGAACTCTCACTGAAGTACACCAACAGCATTTGGCGATGTTATGCCATTTCCTCCAGCTGAAATAAATAATAATTAAGTGATATAAATTAAACTATTAAGACTATGTTGGCTTAAAATTAATCAAATTTTAAAAGAATTTAAACAATATTAAAGAATTTATAACCTTAACATTCATTTTTACAATGCCTTTTGTATAGATAATATTTATTTAAAATAATAAATATATACATATAATAATATATGCTATATTATATATAATTTAATTATAACATAATTATACAATAATATTTTAAGAAAATTGTTGACATTTTTTAGTTTCACATATTTCTTAATTTATCAGTTATTGTATTGATAATTTTGTTATCCCATAAACCTTATAAGATTATTAATTTAATTTTTTTTAATAACAACATACATGTTTAACTATTTTATAAATTAAAAATTGATATAAGTAAGAAAATGACTATTTAATTACAACTTTTGGACCAATATTTCAGAAGTTATTCAGATTTTAATATTTAGATGGCAAGAAAGGTATGGTCAAAAATGTCTAAAATATTTTCATAGCTATACCTCCCCCCTCCAGACTATATTCCAAAGTAATGGGTCCAATTGTCATCAATCAGTCATTTCCTAAATTTATCATTTTTTATTTTATAAAACTGTTAAATATGTATAACATCATTTACAAAAATAAAGCTGATACCCTTATAAGGTATAAGGGATGAATTAATTAAAAATAAGTAATAACTGATAAATAAAAGAAATAAAATATTATATTTGAAACTAAAAATTTTAAAAAAATAGGGCTAAATATTTCAAGACTTAAAATCATATTTCTATAGTACCAAAAATATTTCAGTATCGATATTTGCAAATCATGCTCAATACAATCAATAATTTCCACAATTATTTGTTTCTCTTAAAATAAATCCTTAGATTATTTATGATTTTGATACTAAACCTCAAATGTAATAGAGACACTTATAAGAACAAGGGTCTTATTAAATTTTTAATTTTTTTCAGGAAATAATAAAACTTATTTAATAATAAAGTATTATTATTTTCATCTGTTTAGCATTGTTTTTTCTATAAAACCATCAAATTAATTGCTTTTAAATAGAATTTTTAAATTAAACCCTTGTTCTTATAAGTGTTTCAATTTATAAAATAGTTTTTTAAAAAATGCTCAAGTAAATAATTAAATTTTTTTAGACATGAAAAATAAACATTTTCATAAAAATATTAAAACTCTATAGACAACCTACTAGATACTTATATATATAGTAATAACACTATTACTATTAAGAGCTAATTTTTCAATATTTCATATACTTAAATTTTATAATTTTAGTTTTTAAAAAATTAGTTATTTTTTTTAAGAATTAATTAAACAATCTAATAGATAAGTAATTTACAAAATATAGATAAATAAATGAACTACGGCATATATAATAATTTTAATCAACTGTATTTCAATCATAATTATTCAAATATAAATTTGTGAGACATGTGATTTTGGAACACTACCAATTAACTTAATTTAAGTTAATGATAAATTATATTAACTTGAAACTACAACTGTATTTTGAATAGTTATACAGAATCAGTTTGTTATAGATACAAATAAATTGGACACAAATTTGAACAAAATAAGAATGTACATTTTAACATTCTTAATATTTTCAAAAAATTTTTAGACTATAGTAAAAGTTGGAAATAAATTAATATTTTACCAACAATTTTTTTTTAATAATATAAAAATGTATAAGAAAATATCTTACAGTCTCGTTTAAAGTTAACACTTAAAACAAAATAAACATAATTTTAACAAAAATTATCATATTTCATAATCGAAGTTTTTCACAGAAATAGTGATATTGGAAATATTATAGATGGAATATAATAGTAAAAAGTAATTAATTTGAATTTTTGTTTTTAAAAAATTATCACTATTATCTCTCAAAAATTATACATTTTTTAAATGTTATTGTACTATATACTGAATTGTGTAACTGTCCAATAGTAATAATTGTATTTATATGTAATTAAATAACATAATTGAGTCGTAAATTAACGACTTAAACTTTTAGTTAAATGGAAATTTAAAAATTAAAAAAAAAAAAAAAAATTTAGTAAAAACAAAATGTAAAAATGAAATAATATTTTCTTTTAAATTTAGGCCAATGTTAAAACAGCTGAAGTACCTGTTATTGGTGTTGGAGATACTGAGGATGCACCCAAGTTAATTCTTGACTGTTCTTTTACTACTGGATCTACATAAGAAACAAACAAATTAATCAAATCTTAATTTATAATTATGTTGCCACACATTTTCCAAAAATTTATACATTCAAGATTTAACTAAGACTTAATTTCATATTTGGGTCAGTTTGAAAACTTTATAAAAATATCACGATTTTATTATAATTCTTAAAACAATAAAACTCATAACTTAAGTTAGAATTCACATGTTAAAAGAAATAATAGAGATCAATATACATCTGTCTTCATTCCCAATATAATAACATTACATGAAAGATAAAAAATGAGTTAAAATTTATTTTGAAAAACAACTTAAATTTTTCAAACCCAATATATATTTAATTCAAATGCAAAGAAATATAAAAATAATTACAATCATACTAACAGAAATATGGATGATCCATTGCTTCTCTAGCAGTTAACCTTTCAAAATGATCGTAACGTAAAAGCTTGTCTAAGAAATCCAAAGCTTCTGGTGTAACAAGATGTTGATTTTCACTATGCACAAAACGTTCCCATCGTTTTCTTGAATGTCTAAAAAAATCATTATACATAAAAATTATAAAAACAATTTGTAATATACAAAAAATTATTACCTTCCTAGTATATCTGAAAACCTTGGATCCAATTCAACATGATATTTATCTAAGTATTCAAATAGTTCTTCTGTTCCAAGAACCTTAGCAATACGTACAAGTTGATCATAATTGTCATGACCATGGAAAAATGGTTCTTTCCGAAAAATCATACTTGCTAACATGCAACCCAAAGACCACATATCCAATGAGTAATCATACATCTAGAAAATATAATGGAACATTATAAAACAATATGAAGTGGTTAATAATACCTAGATTTAAAATAATTTTTGATATTTTATGAATAAATATAATATGAATAAAAAATTTTTTTAATGCAATCCAGTAAATAATAATTATATAGTATCTTTTTATAAATAAAAATAACCATCAATTTTTAAATATCTTAATTAAGCTAAATGCATAATGTTAACATACAACATTACTCGAAACAAATAACTCAAACATTTACTAATTATTGATATCAATCTAAATTTTAATATATGTTTAATTATGAAAAATAATATAATTTAATATAATTATACAAAATAATATTATGTATAATACCTGATAATCAGCGAGTAATTCGGGACCCTTAAAATATCTGGAAGCTACCCGGACATTATATTCTTGACCTGGATGGTAAAACTCAGCTAAACCCCAATCAATTAAACGCAATTTTCTATTTTCATGATCAATCATCACATTATGTGGCTTTACATCACGATGCATAATACCCATACTATGACAATAATCTAATGCCTATTACAAAATTTAAAATAAGTGACTTGAGATTTTGGATTTCTTTATTAAAGTTAACTCTTAATTTAACTCTAAAGAAAACTATGGGTTTTACTAGAGTAAACACTTAATCATATTACTCAATTTTGATAAAAAATTTGTTAAATTTACAATTTTTAAAAATTTAAAGACAATTACTATACATTTAATTTTTTTTTTTTAAATCAAATGAATTACAAATCATAGTACCGTACCTTGAGCAACTCATAGAGGTAAAATCTAATATCATAGTCATTCAAAGTTTGGTAGAGTTGTTTGAAATCCATATTGTTTACATGCTCAAAAATAAGAGCTGGTGTTCGAGATACAGGATCTTTTACGACTGCTTGAAGCGATATTATATTAGTTCCTCCTCGTAAGTTTTCAAGAATTTTAATTTCTCTTTTGATTTTCTTTTTCTTTACAGGCTAAAATTGAATCATACAATTAAAAAAAAATACACTTAAGATTGATACGTAATCTAATTACTGTATAATTGGCTTAGTTGCCTGTCAAGTATAAAGTTAGCTACTTCTAAATTAATCTTTTAAGTGATTATTAACTAGGAATCATAAAATAGGATAATTGAATAACTTTTATTCAAAGTAGGCTAGATCTCTAATTTTATTTATTCGAGTTATCAAAAACTTAAAAGATAAATTTCAAAGAGGCTAACTTAAGGCTAACTGAAGCTCATTTCATAGTATAATACCTTCAGTATTTTAACAACACATTTTTCACTATTTGTAACATCAATTGCCTCAAAAACTTCACTGTATTTACCTCTACCAAGTTTCCTTACTAATTGATAGTCATCTTGTTGCCTAAATTATAAATTAATAGATATTAAACAATTTTTTTAATGTTTTATTATTTGAATACAAACATTAACTCTATATAAAACTTCTATTTTAAATTAGTTTTAGTATAAATTTCACTTAATAAAAGTATGATAAATTTCAATTGAAAATTAATATTATTTATCTAAATATTTACATATTAAAATAAAAATTATCAATTTACATTTAATATTCCTGAAAAATATTTTTGAACTACATAAATTATAATACACATTATAACTTACCCCCATTCAACAGTATATGATTCATAATCCCAATACTCTCTTGGTTTATGAGAATTGACATCAGCGTAAACCCGCGCTCGACTTGGCAATGCCATTTGACTAAAATATCTATCTGTTACTGTTTGATCGTATTGAACTGTCCAAAATTCTTTCCCGATTACTCTTAATAAGCTATCGGTACCTATAAAATAATAATTTTAATTTGTTACTGAAGATAATAGAGTACAATATAATTATAATTATGAATAACCAAATTGGAACCTCATTAGGTTTACTCACTATTCAACTATTCAAATAATAGCATAACAGTCTGATAATTTATAGGTTGTTAATGATAATAATTAATGAAAATATCCTTTTTTACCTTTACCTTTAATATTGAAAATACAGCTGTAAATTGATTGCGAGAAATATAGGCGGCGGCTGTGGTGGAAGTGGTCGGGGGGATTTCTAATAAAAAAACACGAGGGATTTAAGCTTTGAATTAAAAACCAACGGCGAGTAGAAAAATGTCGATAATGCATAGATAAATAAACAAAACATCACTCAAAATAAAGTCGAACTTGGTCAAGTCGAAAATAACATAATTTCATTTTAAGTAGTAACCGTGTGGTATAGAGATATGACATGCGGCGGTGGCGGAAGACCAAAACCTATGTTTTGATGATCTGTACAGTTTGGCCGCCGGGAGAAATTCGTAAAGACGGTACATGCTGATAATAATAATTATGACATAACTACTGTGTAAAGAGGGAAAGAAAATGACGGCAAAATTTAGTTTAACAACGGTGTAATTTAGTTTCCATTAAAAATTGAACCCACATACCTGCTATAACATTTTCCAACAGTGGCGGCAGATCGTGTGCTCAGCTGTACGACAAAGATATTGGCATGATTCGTATACTGTCCGAGCAATACACAAAACTGTTGTTGTTTTTGAGAAACGGCAGTTCAGATTTGGTTTCTTTTTGATAATATGACAACAACACGAACAATTGATGGGTTGAACGGCGACAACAGCGGCAGACGTGTAGATGATGGTATGCGATTATTCCGCGTACGTACGTAAATTTACGTTGTACGATTAACCGGTAGGAGGGGCACTAAACAAATATCGAACGGATAAAATCCCCAACGGAAGCTTTACAAGAAAATAGAATTCGCAAACTTTATATTTTTGGTAATCAACGAATATTTACCGGACACACTATTTTCTAAAGAGTATGTCGTCGGCTAAGAATGTGTGCGTGCGTGTGTGTGTTAGTGTGTATACACTGTATAATACGTATGTTGTAATATTCATGTATTACTGTGTGTTTATATGACCGGGCGACGACGTTGATTGTCGGAAACACAAAATGACCAGGCTGACCTTTTCGTGGGATACCAACAGCAATAATATGGTGGCGGCAGCGCCTGCCAACAACGACTGGTACCAGAGCGCTGTCACCACTGGTTTCAACAAAGAGGTTACAAATATTGGCGGACTCATGATAAAATTAAACTTAATGTACTTACAGGTTATTACTCAATCGATTAACAAATAAATTCCATTAATTTATTATAAAAGACAACCAAATCTACTGTGAATTTTTATGCAAATAAATATTAAATATTAGTATAGAGTGATAGTTTAACTATGACTCACACAATATCCTTAAAGATGAAAAACATATAATAATTTTTTATTTTCAAAATTTAATTGTAATACCTCTTTTCCTCTTCAAATTTTTCAAACTTCAGTTTTTTAATGGAAATATATGTTTAACCAATTACAAACTAGAAAACGATTTATATAAAGAATGAATGATCGATAGCAACTTATAAACTAGTATTTCGGAAATTATTAACTCTTAAATATAAAAACTGAAGGTGAAGTGCGAATCTGTTTATTTTCATCTCTAGATATTACTAAACGCACTTCTGCCACGCATTGTTACATAGGGGAAATGTATAAACACCCCTCTACCGTTGGCTATACATTTATCATATAATATATACACATTATTATATATTATATAATAATGTGTATATATACATACATATTTTTAAAGTGCCCTTTCTGTTAATGCAAGTTAAATCCGTGCCTGTTTACCACCTTTTTATAAAAATGTTATAGCGGAATCTTTCAATTAAATAAATATAAGGTTATATCGTTGTTAAAATCACTTGTGTCTAATTATCAAAAAATACTAAAAAAAGTTTTCTTAATATAAATATTAATTTAAGAATAATCGAGTGGCTAATATTAAAATAATCACCCTCTCTACAACAACTTTGTTACTTTTTATAATTTCCCCATAAAAATTACAATATTAAATTATTGAATATAAATTTCATTCTAATTTTAACTGTTATAATAATTATTCATGTATTATACTTATAGATCATAAAATTTGAAATCAAGATATAAATAAGGAAACAGGACTTGATATTGCTTTTGAAATATTTCAATAATTCCTTCTAAAATTTAAACACTATCTATAGATTTGCATCGATACCTTTTTTTATGATAGTGATTTTAATCACTGTCAGGTATTATCTATATTTGTTCCAATTATACCGTAACCCTGTGTTTTTTATTAATATTGTAGTACGTTTCAAGAGCTTTAATTTTGTCTAGATAAAAAACATACAATCCGAAACATTTTCAAAAATTGAGTTGAAAAAATGTGTTACCTTCGTCAGTGGTCTCTTTCATATACTTAGGTTTTAACTTGAATTTTTGTGCAAAATATTCTAAAAAAAATTCTGTTGTCTCCAGTATATATTATTAAAATTTCATTAGGATCAATGTATTTTAAAAAAAAGTTATAGCAGTTTTAAAATGCAAAAATTTTTTTTGAAAAATGTCATTTTTACTGTAGGAAAATGTTGAAATATTTTTTATAATTTTTAAAATTAAGGATGTTTTTCCTATTTTCGGAGACTATATGATTCAACTAGATTAAAATGGGTTCTTTTGACATATTAATCATTAAAATCGGTCCATTGAAATCTGAGAAATTTTATGGACACATATAAAAAACCATGGTAAAACCAATACTTTCTCAGCTTCGGATCAAAGATAAAATTTTATCAAAATTTTTCAAGCATTACAAATAAATGACAATCATATTATTCTTTGGTCTTGTAGTTTTTCGACTTTTATAGTTCAAAAAGTAATTCAATCGAATTGTATATTAATATCTCTTCCAGATAGTAAAAATGTGTTAAAAATATATGAAAATTTCGAAAAATTGATTAATTTTTATATAGACAAAAAATATATGTAAGCAGGGTGACTTTTTTGTCATAATAAATTTAAAATATGACATAATCATATACCCCCTCAATTACTTACAAAATAAAAGTGATTTTGAAGATTATTTTTGAAAATTTTCGGTTATTTTTAGTTACAAATTGTTCTTGAATTATTTGCTATGTAATCATTTTTAAGTTTATCTCTTATGCCTTTTAATGGTGTCAACTTTGTTTTTTCAATGAAAACATATTTTGTATTTAATGAAATATTTGAGGTTTTTCTTAAATAGGGTTGGATTATTTAATAAAACATCATCTGTTTATTAGATATCACACTTAAAAGTTGCGAATTTTTTAATTGAAATACTAATCGATATTCTAATCGGTAGCTACTTGTTTTTTTGTAACGTCACAAATACGCTTCACAGATATGCTGCAGGTCCGTCAATTATGATTTTATCGACAGATATGCTTTCTGTTTTACCAGTTGGTGTATTTACAAATTTAACTCGCTACATTATGCCTTATGAACTACTATATTTTATGTATATTAATTATAACTCGAAATTATGAGGTGTTATATCTAATAAACGGATGAAGTTTTATAAAAACCAGTGACGGATTGGTCCACTTGTGTTTCTGTGCTACAGCACAGTGGACCAGTGACCATTGTACCAATGACCGAAAAGTATTTTTTTGACCGACCAGTACTGTGAAAATGCATTTTATTTATTTATTATTACGGTCAAAATAAGCAAACGATTCTGACATAAATACTTAATACTAACTGAATGTGACTTAGAAATGTCTAATGATAAAAGTAGGCTACCTAATCACTAATATACATAAATAAATTAATAAATTGAAAACTACAAAATAAATTGGTAACAAATTCATTGACAATTTTAAATTCGATAGATAGATATATGAGAAAATTAATACTGAAATTAATCGGGAGTGAGCCGGATAATCAAATTTTATATGTCTTAGTGAAAATACTGCATGAGAAAACACAACTGAGTGAATTTTGGGCAAGATAGAAGCCTTCAATCTTACTCAATAGTCACTAAGTAGCATTTTTTCGTAGTCCGCGATATAGCAATAAGTTTATAAATGAGAAACTGGCATCATTGCATTGATAAGTCTGTATAATCAAAAGAGACAAAGTGTTTTATTACCCCCTTCAAACGAAAAAAAATGTTATAATTTTGTTGGGAGGATCTATCTCATTTCAACCCTCTCCCTCTTTGTACAAAATTAAACAAAACCTAGCGTCGACATTGGATATGTCCATAAAACTTGATTATCTAAAAATTAAGTTACTAATGTTATATATGTATATACTTCTCATAAATATTTTACATTTTTATGATCAGTCAATTAAAAGCTTACTTATGATAAAAAATAAAAATATTCGAATAATTTTTATCTTTAGATTGTATCTAGTAAACAAAATACCAAATGATTTTCATTCGTTAAATTTATACCAATTGTTGAGATCTGGAGGAGTAGTGCAGTGGAAGTATTATTTTGGTTTTAACTAATTAGTCGTTTTTTTTTGTATGTTACATAAATATATTATTTTTTATATTACATTCTCGGTACGGCACGTACGATCACCTGTTGAACGCGAATTTAATACAAACAAGCACTGGTACCTATTTCTCCCACCGCGTATTAAATATGACTATCGTAGTGTGTACAGTATGTACCTAACTTCAAATTTTAAGAATACCTCATAATAGATATCTTGCAATAAATTTATCTATAGAAGGAGAAATAATTTATCAGTTTCAAAAATTAGCCCCAAGATATATTAAAAATTTATGCTCAAATTACATCACTACCCAAAAAATAATATTTTAGAAAATATTACATAAGATATTATAAAAACAATTTTAAATTTTTATTTTATCTATGGGTTTTAATTTTATACTTTTTATAGTATACTTTAAAAATACTTTACAATTTTAAATAGCAACAAATCAGGATATTTTACTGGCTTCCTTATAAATAATTGTTATTTTCATGTATTTAAAAAAGTAAAGTAGGGTAATCACTATTCATGTTTAAAACGAATAAATAACCATTAAAACTTGTGTACTATTCTCGGATAGTCTTAAAAACACTTGTTGTATATGTTGTATACAAAATATATTAATACTATCCGTATACGTTAAATATCTCTAATTTTGCTTATGTATAACAGGTTTCGAGATAAAATGTTTCTAGAAAATAAAAAAAATATTATGACTCTTTATACTTGCTGGGTTTTTGCTAAATTTTTAATAACATACTTAAAATTTGTTTTCCATTTATTCCATGTATCATTCTTACAAAATGAAATAATTTCATTCGAAAATTATTTTGCTTTGTAATTATATATTCTATCGAAAACATGCTCATAGAGGACTTTTGCTACGCTTGGCAGTATATCAAAGTTTATTAAAATGTGCTGATTACACGGAGCCTATGGAAGTGCAATATAACGAATGCACTTATTTCCTTACCCTTCCCCTCAAGAGATATATTAAATTTAATATCTACATTTAATTTTAGTGAAAGAGAGTTTACCTACCCTAATATCCTCACCTCTCCGAGATGAAATCTCAAATGCGCCTCTGTCTAAACTCTCTGCAAAATAACCCAAATTTTAAACAGTTTAGTTGTAGTGACAGTGATACTATTTATCTATTTAGATTTTCAATTATTTTTATTTTAATATTAAAACATTTTTTTATAATCAGAAATAACTTTATTTTTTGGTTGGCAAATCCGTTTTATTACACAGTCATATATATTTTATTATATGGGTATGAAAATCTTAAAATCAAACGAGATAAATATTTAAAAACTCAATAAGTACTAGAGCGTACAAAAATACACTTTTGTGTTGTGAATGAAATTTGTGTCACGAACATGAATTCTATTGAATTGATGATACCTATTTCAAGGACAAGTATGAATACAATCCGTACCAAGTACCATAATTATTGAAAATCGAGTAGTTTTTTAAATCAATTATGTTATAAAATATATATGTTTTTAAGTTAGGAAAATA